ATATCGGTGGGCGATTCGTCCTACGTTTCTGTTTTCTGGCCAAGTTGTTGCACCATGCAAAAACCAGTGTCGCTATTTGAAAACGAGAATCTAACGTTCTAGAACATGTTAAAGGAGTATTTCCATTAAAGGCAGTCGATCTTTCGACCCGCGAGAGAAATTATTGGAAAATTTCAGAAGGCAAAAAGAGTAATTTTCGAGGCTTTGAAATTTCCGATATCGCTTAAGATAAATTTGAATAATCCGTTCTTTCTGTATCGTTCGTTTTATAATTTGGTTACTCGCGTTTCCACGTAGAAAAACATTTTCCCCGTATTATACTAATACCTTTATATTCATAATCGGCATATATCCGAGCTTTTTTGTCGCGTATTTCCAAAAAGAAGAAAAAAATCTTCTCTCCGCGAGATTGAGCGCGCAAAGATTGAAAAGTAAAGGCGAAAGTTTAATCCGAAGCAGATATAAATAGAGATCGATCGATATCTGAAATTTTAAGGAACTTTAGACTGCTGATAGACGAGCGAAAAGCGTGAAAATTATAGCGCGCTGATTACGCGCCGAAAATCAGCAACACGTGTACTCCACGAGTTTATGAATTTCGAAAGCAATTGAACGATTCTTTCTGAAGAAATATCGTATCGATAAAAACAAGAATAGAATAATATCATATCGTTTATCTGTAAGTGAAGTATTACTGGAAAGAAAGCTTGGGGAACTATCGTGGAAATTGCTGAAAAATTAGAAATTAAATTAGAAACGAGCAATTTAGCAAGGATATTTTGAAAACTTTGAACTTTAAGGGTATAAAATAAGGAAAGGTCAGGCTTTCCAAGCCACCAAATGGAAATACTCCCTTAAGCACCGATCTTTCGCTAACACGATAACGCATCGAACGATTTTGCATCCGCAATGGCGCACGTGCACCCATCGGGCTAACCTTAATGCACGTGTTCCAGACCCAAGACATTGCACAGCTACGTTATGTGCTCGCTGTATGCTCGTGATGGTGCTGAACGTGCTTTTCATAAAAAAAAGGAAAAAAATGAAATAAGAATTAAAAAAAAAAAAGGTAAGGGGCAGCTAATCGAACGTGTAACGAGGCTGTCGTTGCATTGAATGCGTAAGTGTGCGGGTGCGTAGAGATTGTTCTTGCGTGACCGTACGATCGTGCTAGCCACTACAATATACAGCTTCACGGGCGTTTGGAAAATACACCTAAAATAAACATTACATATTTTATAAATAATATATTTGTTCGCGTTGAAATCTCTGAGGTGCGCGGAATCGATCGGAAGAGCGTGACGTTGCTCTCGGAAGTTTCTCTAGATTTTTAGTAATATCTAGGGATTTTAAGTTTAACCATCTCTAGTATTTTTCGTATATCCCATTGTTTCAATCGTATTTGAATTTAAATCGACCATTCGATATCAACGTGTTTCTTTTTCTTTGTGAAATATTGGATAAGCAAAATGCTATTGTATAGCGATGTACATATCTCGCGGTAAATGTTTATTACATCGATCGATATTTGCCTATCGGCTGGGGAAAACGAGAACGTATTGTTTAAAAATGGCCACTCGTTGAGTGAGACGAGCGAACTCGTTGCGGAAGTTTAATAATTACACACGTACGGGGAAGAGTAAATATATCTGCTACTATGAACTACTGTGAACTCACGCTCACTAGTAAGAACCGTTTCTAGACTTTTATCACGTGCCTTGGTTTTACGCACTGCTATTCGCAACCAGAGGTAGCTCTTCCCTTTGTCCACGCAACGAAGATACTTCGATCTACTCGTATTATATTTAGCCGAATAAAGTAAAGATTCGTTTGATTTGATAAAACAAAGACCAGCTTTGATCGACAAATTAATTGGCAACAACTAACAAGCATCGAGACACGAACCGCGTAGAAATCCGATCGATCGCGACTCTAAATTTTATTAATTTTTTTAATCTCAATTTAAACAAATACACGATCGATGTTCGATTCCGGAACAAGAAGTAACTTACTTCCACAAGTTGGTTTATCATAAGATAAGACTAAAATAATACGAACAACGATATAGAGTTGTAGGATGAAATTAAAAAATAACATTTCTAACACGATGATCGTGTTTTCTTTTTTCCTCTGTAATTTTCAATTTACGAAGTTTATCGATGTGGCTTCCGATTTATGTTACGAAGAAACTGTAACAACTGAACGGAAATGTTGAAGAGAATTTCTGCCTAGACATTCTGTTGCTCCTTGAACCTATCAATTTATAACTCGCCGATTAAAAACAGACAAACGCGTACGTTTCGAAGATACCAAGGGAAAGACAAACTAAGATTTCCTCGACGTTACACCAACGTTATTTTCCAAGAATCGTGTTATTGCGTGGCTGTAGCTTTCACGACCAAATATATCTACCTACCGCGGCTCAAAAGTCTTAGGACATCTTTTATTCTTAGCACAACTTCGTTATCCGATTTCAATTACAAACTTTAATTTGCACGCGCAATTTATTAAAATTCTTAGTAAAATACCTTTATTCCATTTTAACTTAATTCCAATTACTTATTTACGATTATATAATTAATTGTATTAATTACTCGATTCTTTCTCCGTTTACAACGTAATAAAATCTACCAAAACTTTCGAGCTGGCGTGTACATCCGATCAATTCTTTGCGATTGAAAAATCTTCGTCGCATCTTTGTAGATTCCACTGAAACCGCGGCATTTCGAATCGACCAGAAAAAAATGACGAATATTTATACGAAGGAAAACGACGCAAGAAACGACGTTCGTACGATTCCATCGTCGTGACGGTGAAGTACAAAGGATTAGCGACACGGTACGCGTGACGCACAAAGGGACGTTTGTTGGCAGCGCGCGTCGCGTCGCGTCGGTCAAGTTTCACGTCCGACTACGCATCCAATGAAACCGCAGCCTGAAGAAACATGCCGTACATGGAACACGCCGTACGTGCGCTCGCTTGCACCCCGATCTAAAAGCTTCGCTGAAGCTGGATGGCGCGGCGGCTGGGAATACGGTGCTGCGCGGCGCGGCGCGGCGCGGCGGCAAGCCGAAAAGTATGTATACTACGCGTACATACGTAACACGTAGCCGGTGCAGAAGTCGATAAACGATTCAAAATAGCTGCTACGTAAACCAGGGTGAGGAAAGAGAAAGATAGAGAGACAGTGGTAGTAGATCGGGCTGCTTAATTAGCTCCGGGATGGATTTGGAGCTGCGGGAAGAGAAGAGGCTCGTTGGTGTACCTAAAGCACGAGGAGCAGCTTAAACGGTGTGAATCGAGGAGCGAGTGAAAGTGGGCAGAACGGATGGGAAAGCGGCGTTTCCCGCGAAAATTATACATATTGGAAAGCGTGTACGGGCCGCGGAAGTCTCGAAGCAGAACTGGATCTTTTCAAATAAACTTCATCCTACTCTCTCAACGGCCGTTTGCTATTGTTCGGTGGTTGAATGACCAGCGAGAACACAGAGGACGACGGGAACAAAGCGCTAGGAAAATAAATGGGATTTGGAATATACGTACACGGCTGGAGTAAGAGCGAACGCGAGAGAGAAAAACAGACTGAGAAGGGGGGAAAACTCTCTGGCCGATGTTCTGCAGTGAATAACAAGTTGGGAGACGGCAGGCGACATCACGCAGATCTCGTACAATTGTAATAACAATGAGTATACGGAGTTGTACGGAGATATCGTTTCATCGTGTTAATTAAACTCTCGAGATGGAGAGCGGAAGCCTAGGAGAGACGTAGACAGATCTATAGAGATAGACAACCAGATGGGAAGGTGAAAGGGATGGAAGAAGCGGAATGAGGATGTTTGGGGATGTGTGTGTCAGAGCGATGGCAGATATCGAGACCAAGAGGAGAGAGGAGAGAGAACATCGATCTTCTTTTCGTGCACTGAAAGAAAGGAAGAATCTTGAAATAAAGTTTCGAAAGTACGCCGCGTTCTCAGACACGAAGAAGGAAAGACAATCGAGCTCGACACTTTGTGCGAAGTATATAATATAATAAATGTATAAGTATGTAGGTACACATATATAGTAATTTTCATAGTAAAAGTTAAGATCGTTCACATTCGTGTCGTACGTTCCAAGCTGCGTACGTTGCAAACGACATATATGTACACAATGGCCGGATACTGCGGTAACCGCAGCGTCGGGTTATGACACGAGTATACAAAACGACGGTACACGACAGATTAGAGACGCAGAGACGGGTAAAATACCGTTTCGAAATAGCTTCTGTGCCGCTCTGTGTTTCAAGAGGTCCTCGTTCTTTATTAATCTTCCGTTCATTGGATCAGTTTGAACGTGCATTCGCAGTCCCGTCCATAAGTCACTCGGATTACTTGTTTATTTTCAAACGTAATTATCGTTGAACGCTTGCGTCGCCTAATAAATATCGGACCACGTTCGCGGCAAATTTAACGAGCAATCGAAATAGCATCCGTGATTAAAGTCTCTTAAAAATTTCGATCCTTTTCGATGGAATAAAAATTACGTACGTAACGTTCCGGTATTACGCCGTATGGCATAGCAACAACAACGAGAATTGATTAATACATTTTTAGGAAGAACGCTGAATTTACGATAAAACGTTGCAAGTATAGCACGAAACGTTTCTATGTGTATCGCGTTATGAGTGACCGGTGATTTATGGACGGTTAGGTAGATAACTGTAGCATCCGTTGAATGTTCATTATCTTTTTATTACTTTCGAAATTCGAAATAGTATTTTATTCACCTCTGGACAAGGTGGCATGCTCTATGCTTGGTACACACTATAAATACATTTGTACACTCGTACCGTGATCAAGAACAAACAGAGAGATAAATATATACATATGCACGTGACGTATGCATGTATATACATATATGCACACATGGATGCACGCCTATGCATATTATGTGATTTATATAGATTTAGATATGTATATAGATATATTATGCATAGCACATTGTTCTCTACTAGAGCTTACTAAATGCGTGATCGAACCGAGTACTCGTCCGAGAGTAACCTGCAACAGCGAAACAATAGCCTGTCACTGCCCCCTAAGGTGGTCATGTACTTACGTCTAATGTCTAGCTTTCTTTTCTATCTTTTTCTTGTCATTTTCTATCTTGTTCTTTTTGCTTATGGGACAAAGAGAGGGGGAAAAAAATAGAACGATCGATCTTTTGATCGATCTTTGCTTTTCCTGTCTCCGCTAGGCTGGTATCGCTACTATTGAAACAAAAGTCAAAGATATTTCGTTAAGTCGATTACGTACTAAATGAGAAATTCATTGACGACTCGATGAAAGTTGATTTTAACGCAATTTATTTCACTCGGACACGATTTTCTTTTTAAAAAGAGATTCTGTAATAAAATATTATTCTGTGATATTATTCTACAATGTATATTATTTTCTACATGGCAGGATACTTTATACAGAGCGGCGAGACAAGGTCGAAAAACTTCGTCTTATTCAATGGTTAAAGCCACGTGTCGAACGTAGATTGAAATATCAAGTATCGAATATTATCAACATTTTTCTACGAATGGTATGCCATATATTCGAATTCTAATCGAATTAGCGATATTATCATGCAACGATACTCTGCTACGATATTTTCTCGCTATATGGAAATGTTTAGCTAGAAACGACCATCGAGATCGACCTTATTTTAACTATATTATCGAATAAAAATAAATTTCTTATCCAAACAGGAATTTATTTGCGTAGGTAATGCGCCATTTAGAAAAATGCGTTCAATTATCGACTGTAAAAGTGGCGATACGTTAAGAGTCTTTCGTCTGTATCGATCGAAGTCGAACTTAATCCTATCCGATTATAACCGAATAAAAGTAGCTTTTAGTCGAATCAAACAGAAATTTATTCGCATAGTACCGTGCCTATCGCTCGTCGCTTGAAAATGAAAGTGTGAAATATCGTCCTTCGCTACTGTTTCTATAATTTTGGAATTAATTACTCTAATAAATTATCCCGATAGGTATTTAGAATAACTCGTTACAAACAACGAATAATTATTATCAGAAAGAGTGGAAGAACCGCGAAAGATTCATTTAAATAACCATCTCGCATAAATATTCATGGAAAAAGAATTTGAATAAAGCTCAACTCCGTTTCCGATAAATTAACGTGGGAGACCAGAGTTATTCGTCATTTCGATTGATTGTCACATTTTGTATTCATAATTCGGCTGCAGAATGACAGACAGATTTATTCGAGCGGTTACACGGTATGCGTTGCTTTTACTAAATAACTGTTTGCTACAACTGTTTGCTTTGTAAATCGTTGTTCTTACTATTTATCGCTACTCTGACGTAACTTTACACTTAAAATACAGCATAATCGTAGCAAACGAATCGAACCGAATATGTCTAATTAAAAATAAAAAAAAGAAAGCTTATAGGAGAAAATTTTGCAATATTCAACGACATCTTTTACTTCACATATACGCGGTATTATTATTCCCACTATCGTGTTAATAATTTTCAGATAATTACTCTTGTGCCACAGGATGATAGATCTTGTTAAGCAGCAGACAATTTCCCAGTACTTCTTCCTAAATTGACTCGCAACACAGATACAACCTGACCCAGTTGCTGCTATCTCCCTACAGAGCATATCATTGTCAAGTTTCTGCTACGCCGACATAACCTAGTCACCTGGTCTTCGATAGAACATAAATATTCTTTCAACTTGTACGAAGATTAATTTCGCTGATCGATCGAAACACGTATTTAAAACAACGATGATATTTTTCCATCGTAATAATAATTAAACAGAAGTAAAGGTTCTCGATCAAAGGATAACCACGACCATAACCTTGCCATTATTCACCACTCTGTATAAAGCAGTAGTTGTAACGCGAAAAATGGCCCGATATAAAAACCGTTTAAACACGGCAGTGAAACGCGCGAAAGCGGTTATAAAACATTTAACTGTAACCTCGACGAGCGCGTGTGTTGAGGTCCGTTTTAAATAGTTTGCCCGTTCATTAGCAATTCCCCCTGTTTCTCGTCCAGCCACCGACATATACGTATCGTATGTACGAATAAATGAATCCCGCTTTTATGGCTCGGGGACATGCACGAAATATAATACGAGCCGAAAATTTCTCTCTTTTTCGATCGGCAAATTCTCCAACCTGCATTCTCGTCGTCCGGATTTTAACGAATCGAAAACCTTTCGTTCTAAACTACGTGATTCCTATGGATATACTATATATCGGAAAATACGTCTATGAATAGGAATCAAGTTGAAAAGTAGAGGGGAGGGGGAGGGGCGTACAGAGACACAGAGAAGAAGGGTGAAGAAAGAAGAGTACAAGGTGATTCATGAATGCGTGGTGTCCATTCTTCAGGGGCTGAGCGTGCACATGGAAATAAACAGAGAACGTCGTACGAACGTGACGATGTATTCTACGTATCTTAGTTTTCCAGTTGACGATTATTCGAACTACGTCGTAAGTGTAACCTGCCTCTGGTATTATCGTTGGACCATGTCGATTCTCGGTTACGCGAAATCTCCACGATACATTTACTCGCTAGCCTGTACGCTGAGATTGTAAATAACGCAGAGTGAAATAAAAGAGAAAAATATTTGCCTCGGCACGCGCAACCGTACATGTTTTATCATCGACTGTATATAACATACAATAGCGAAGAAAAGGAAATTTAAAATTGATACGCTATGAATTTTAATAACTTTTGTATTAAAAACGTTTGACTGTATTGGTAACAGACATCTATTCTATGCTATATATCGTGCTGATTCGTTTACGTTACTTAGACGCGAATCCATTTTGGAAAATTACGTCGACCTCACGCGCTTCTTAGTTTATAAACCTTTTTTCGTCCGCCGCTGTAGCCGAAACGACGTTTCTCGTGACCTAAAGCTGACGAGCAATACCGATCGATTTGAATCGAGTAGAACTTCGGTCGGTCGATATCCTACGCACTCGTGCAGGTTCATTATTATTCCGAAGGCGGAAAGATAAAAATTCGAAACTTTATACAGATGAAGTAAAAATTGGCTGTGCGCGTGTGTGTACAGGCAACGATAAAGCGCGCAGTGTGCACACGCATTGAGATACGAAGCAGACGTTTTGAACATTTTATTCGATCATCCGTAACTGGAAAATTAAAATACTTGGGATGTACGTTCACACGATGCTTTTTTATTTATTTATTTATTTAATGCTGCCAATTTTCATCCTCACTTAAAGCATGGACGTGTATTTACAAATCACCCTGTATATATATCGTGTGAGAGAAGAGGTGCGGAAAGAACGAGCGAAGAAAGAAATCGCAGCGGAGAGAGAACTTCAATTTACTCGAAGCGATACCTTGCCACGACAACTCGAGCTATATGTATATCGCCATGCATCTTCAGCATACTGCGTGAAAACGAACCGTACTGAAATATTCTTTTAGAAAGAGGATGCACTCACGTATATACGTACGCGTCCGTTGTCCGTATCAAGCTTTTCAGCACGTCCTTTCTTTTTTCTTTTTCTTTCTCATTTAATGGAACTATCAGACGGCGAAAGCTTCAGTGCTAAGGGCATGCGAAGAAAAGTATCTTGTATGTTTTTCCTAAATCCAAAATTGACTTTGGCCGAAAATCACATGGCGAAATAATATCCAGATGGAGAGAATGCTTCCAAATAAACGCGAGTATCCAAATCATTTTTTGCGCAAATCTTTCGTGGATGTACCGTATTCGTTGCACGAAACACTTTGAAACACGTCGTTCTATGTATTATCGCGTTGGCAATTAGATAGTATTGACAAAATCCGTAATCACTCAGTTGCCAACCCGATATATCAAACGTATTTTATATTAAAATCTGCTACATGTTCGTACACATCGTACGATATCATTTTCATTGACATCGTAACGAGACTGGATGATCGTGATCGTATAAAAGAAGATATTTATCGCAAACATGAAACTTGAAAGCGATCTAAAAATTTACACGTTGCACGTAAATGTGCTACATATCGCGTCCATATATTACGTGTTTTATTTCCGCAATTTCATCGACGCTGTAACGAAACGCAACTTTCATGGTGATACTGGTGAAATCTCATACCAATCTGAAAATCTGCATAGAAGTTACAAGATATTTACTGCAGATTTATACTTGGTAAAAAATTCGTATATAAAACGAACGACAGTCCGAAACGCTTAATTAGCGTCGAAGATGACTACGCTAGATACCACGGCTTCGTATCATCGTCTATATCGTCGGCTTCTATGCATTTTCAAATTTCAAATTCAAATTTCAAATTCGTTCAACGTAGTCGCGATACTTATGGTACGCGTGATCGCGGTGCTACGTTAAATTTTCAAAGTGTTACATAACGTACAGGTACTATATTTATAAAATGATCGCACGAACATTGGAATACCTTGACGAACCGCTATACATACGTTTCAGCGTGCATTTTAGAAAAGAGTAACGTTGACCCTTAGCACTGGAAGATCGCCGACGCGAGTTTCCGTGAAGTGCCATGTGAAAATCATCAAGCGAATGGATATCGGTATACGTAAAGCCGAAAATAAATGAGCGTGAAGAGGTGGATGTAAAATATCTGATAACGAACGATGTCGGCTATGTAACACGGAAGCGGCGCGGGATTCTTCGCGAGAACCTCGTGATTCGCTATAAAGTAGGGCACACACCGGTCACGGAAATTCCCTAACTATACGCGACGCCGTTTAAACCGGGAATAAAACAAGGTCGAAGAAAAATATTCGCAAAGTGGTCGACGTTCATCGATCGCTTTGCGTCTCTCAGTCAAACTTTACGGAACTGTCATCGGCGTCGTAGAAACTGGTCGAGGAATAGGATATTTCCAATCGAAATTGACACACAGAGAACGCGTATGTTAAGTTAAAGGACGTTGACGAGCAAGACGCGTCGATCTGCAATTGCGAAAAGTTTGTGAAACACGAATAAAAACGAAAGATGTCGGCGAGTTTCGTGATTACACTTGTCAAAGCGTGGAAATTCGTGTGGCAAATATACGTGGGGAAAAAAGATGAAAGCGCAAAACAGCTGATTCGCAGACAGCAATTGGAAATGCACGCGTGCGCGTCCGATGGCTGAGTTAATACTTATCCAGACGTGCGTTCGTGTATTGCACCATCTTCTGGAAATAGAGTACGGCCGACGTTTATCTCAAACGCAATGCAGCCTAGCGTACGCCGCGTGTTAAACGTTGACTCTCGACGATTACGTGGGGGAAGCAAGAAAGAGCGGATCAAAAAGAGAGAAGCGAGGTGGTAGAAGCAAGACAAAGACGAAAGTCAGAGTGAAACAGTAAGATAGAGAGGGTAAGAGAGAGAGAGAGCAAGAGGATAAGAGAGAGAGAGAGTGAGAGGGAGGGAAAAGAGAATAGAGAAGAAAATGCGGAATCGATGCGAGTTTAAGCGTAATAATAAACGAACCAGACGAACTCTGATCGTCTCAGAAACGCATATATGTACGTAGAGAAAAACCAATAAATGAACGAACGACAGAAGACGTATCGTTCGGTTTGAGACTTACTCGGGATATTTGACGTTGGGTAAAGCCTTCAGGAAACAACGTTGACGCAGGATGCCCTCCCACAGTTGCACGCCAACGATACCGAATATAAAGAAGACGAAGAAGCACAGCAGCAGCACGTTGCCCAGCATAGGAAGAGTGTCGAGTAAAAGCATCACTAGTATCCGCATACCTGTTGGAAAAAGAAAGACGAAATAGTGGCAAGAACAGCGACACTCGAGTCTCCTTTTAAAACAAGTCTCGGCTGTTCGCTATGATCGCGGCGCAATCGTATCGTCTAGTTTCACCGACAGCGTGACAAATACAGGATTTCTTTGTTTACAGAGCAAGTCAGGAAAGTATTCGAAGACTCGAAGAAAGCTTTTATAAACGTAATTGCGCTTAGGCGAGAGATTTTCAAATTTCGTTGATATCGTGGTGAGATCAGCGCGATTACATCGGTCAATTTTGAAACGAATCTGGAAACGTAGGCTAGAAGCTATATTTATTGCAAGATATCTTTTAGCAGAGATCGTGAAGGCATTTCAACGATCAATTGTCCATTGTGTCGGTAAATCTCGATACTCGGTGAGACCATTTTTAATACTTTTCGCTTCTTTTCGTTTTTTCTTTTTTTTTTTTTATATATCGATAATATCATATACCTTCATTTTTAATATCTTGTAGCTTCTATATACGTCAGTCGTATCTGATTACGTCGCTAATGAAATTTCAAAACGTTTAATATCGCACGGACGATATAATATATCGGCGAAAGATTTCTATAAACGTTCAAATACTTTCGTGAGCCATTGTACGTCACTGGAGGAAGAATAATGTCATCCGGATACGGCGCTAAATAGAGATGTGCGCGAAAAAGTGGGAAATCACGAGGCGAGAAAAGCGAAGGACTTGTTACAGGCGGAACACTCAAATATAGTGTATCGCGGTTCTAAATCGATCCGCTCATTATTTGTTCATCTGGATCGTTCAGGAATAAATCTTCTTTCAAGTTCATTCATGTTAAGCTTACATCTATATCCTACTATATATAATCGTTGCGGGCCGAGAAAAATGTAAATTCGATCGAACAGAGAACGTCGGATCTTCTTTTCACGCGATTTTATTTAAAGAAGCTGCAATCGCGGCTGCAACGTAAAGAGTATCGAAAGAGAAACGAGTCGAGTGCTTGAGTGGAAAAAAGAAAAAAAAGAAAAACACTGGCAAATATTTTTCAACGGACGCCGGATATAACAAGTTCGTAAATTTGGAAAAATTGATCGATCGGTGCGTGTATTAACTGCAAACGTAGCGTACGAACGAATAATGCGACCGCGTTACACGGCGATCCTCCGCGTTAAAATACATCGAAATTTGAAACGAATGTTTTCAGCGTGGCAAATCCATTGCGGGAAATGAGAATTTTTGTTGCGACTAATTTTGCTATTATCGCGATCAATTAGAATTTTTCCCTGTAATTAAATACTTGGAAGATGGTAGTCGTCGTAAATAGAACGTTTATGAATATGCAAGTGTTTATAAATAAATATGAACGTCTACCGGTTATGTAAGTTTGAGAAACGGCGTGAGAAGCGACTACAAGTAAGTTAGAAAAGAATATGTAAGTAAGAAATTCTTGGCTCTCCTTTAAAATTCAAATCGCGTTACGACAAAAACTCCCCTTCATGGCGGTACGCGATAAACAGAAGGAAAGAATTTTATCTGGTGATTTGGATTAGCTTAGGGACCAATTTATGTTCGATTGCACACGCTTCCAACGAGAATCAATTTTCTTGTAAACAAAGCTCCGTAGGATAAAACTTTATTTGTTCTTTCCCGACTTATTTTTGAACGAAGAACCATCTTCCCTCGGCAATACCCTATGCCTTTGGATTCCGATTCACCTTGCACATGATCGGTATAACGACAAATATTCTCTCTCTTTTATTTCTTTTTTTCTTCTCCTTTTTTTTTTTTTTTTTTTGAAACGGATAAATTTATTCGGTATATTTTATTCGATCAGAATTTTGGCCAGAAAGATCGAAGCAAATAAATGTCGCGAACGTTGGTTCGCTTGGATATACGTACGCGCGATTTATATATTTGCCGTCTATTATGAAAATTGTTTATCGTAAAAGTCAGCGTTTTTCAACGTACACAACCAGTTGTATTTTTGTATACTCACTTGGAATCCTGTTGATGGCACGTAGAGGTCTCAAGACTCTTATAGTCCTTATGGCCGATAAATTCATGTTTTCCACGTTCAAACAATATTCCAGAGCACTGAAATAGAATAATCGAACATAGAATTTTTCTTCTTTGTCGAACATTTCGTTCCGATCGCAAATATTTATTCCACGCCAAGGCGTTGTTTTTCTGTCGAATATTTAGTAAACTCTGGTGGCAAGGTTGGCAAAAATGAAGATATAAATTCCATTTAGACCGAATCCGTTCAAAACGTTCGAAATTGAATAAGCATTCGTCAATCAGAATTCTGCGATGTTAGGTGAAAATGAAATTAGATTGCTGAAAGCAACGTGTTGTACGTGCTCCCCTCTTATAATTGAATTTTATCCCAAGTAAATTTATTTATAAACGAACACGCGTAACTACGAATTCCCCAAATGTTTCACACCAACTCGTACGCGTTTCTACGTGTCTGTTGCGTTCAGAATTGTAAGAAAGGAAAACCTACGTAGAACGAAAAGCCGTAGTCGATTTGAAGGATAATCGAAGAAAGGAAATATTTCGTTGCCTTCGAGCTACATTTTCAATTATAAAACAGAATGAACGTGATACTGGGAAACACGGCTGGCTCGCGTAAAATTGAATAAGAGTTTAGCGGTTTATCAATTTCACGAGCTCCTAAGTACCTCGATGGAACCTGTGCGATTAACTTTACCCGCGTGACACCGTTCAATCCGCGAAACTTTATTTCACGGAAAACTTGCCACGAAGTACGTTCCGACCTCCATAGCTTCGAACCAACCACCGAATTAAGGGAAACTTTCGCGCAACTTGCTCGTTCGTTATACCAAAATAAAAATTCCACACGAATAAACGCCAACTCTATTCATTCCCCATATCCAACTTATTCTCGTATCTTGCTCTTTCTTCGTTCTTCCATTCAATTTCGTTTCCATTATTTCGTTCGTTCGTAAGCTGCTCTCTCGTTCGCCAACGAGACTTATAAAAGTCGATCTATAGCGCAACTATTCTAATCTGTCTGAATAGATTTACGATGCAACTCGGCGTATCTAAATCTCACGGCGACAAAAATTCCGCATAACTGGAGTTCGCGGAGTAAAGTAGTCGAGCGGTTCTTTACGCTGACTGTCGCTTCTTACGAGAATAACCGCAGTTTAATGGACTATAGATTACGTTGATACTTGTGATTAAATATGTTGCAATTAAATACGCTGTACGCAACGTGATTAATCGCGATCAACGATAATCAGGCTGAGCGTTGATATTCTCAATTTGCATGTTTTCAATAATTGGCGAAATAAGAGATCGGATACGGAGATCGTTCAGATTGGTACGATAGCTCTAACATCGAGATAAGATTTCATTGTAATAGATAGGATTTAGGGAAATAGCGGTCTACCGTATCAGAGGGAAATTTTACGCAGCGTCTGATGTAATTGAACTCCGACTAATTGAGTTCACTTATCTACATATGTGTGAACTCTAATTAGTTGAATGAGAAATGGCAGGTCATGAAGCGAATCAGCGAGACAATTCTCGCTGCATGAACTCCAATTATACGTATGTTTGTCCTCCAGTGGATTCAGGTAAATGGAATTTCGCCGAGTATTGTTCGTTCAGACACGGAACCATTCTACTTGTTAGCGACTTTCAGGTTTCATATTCTACCAGGAACCTTTCAGTTCCTAAAAATCTGATTAAATGTTATCGTTAAGGAGAGATTATTCAGATATTTTCCAGCTACGATAAATGGTTCATATTCCGGAAGAATAGAATATTCGAATTATTCTGTCGTGTACGAAACAATAAATGCGGAAACAGCGGCGTGTTTCGTGTTACGCGTGGAATGCGACTGTACATTCCAGAAGGTGATTCGCGAGGAAAGAGCATACGAGTCTGCGAAATAAGAGACGATTAACCCTCGATCCGCACGCTGGGTCGCTTTCGACCAGCGATTTTAACTAATTTTTCAATCTTTCCATACTTTTGTCTAAATTCTGCTTTGCTCTGAAAAAAATTAAATTAACGTAACGATGGGAACTGTCGGACGATATTTCGCATTCTTGAAGGAATATTCAAGAATTTTGGAAAAAATTGTTGCAAACACGACAACCTAGAAAAATCGGCATGAACTTGAACGACCCAGCGAACAGACGACGCGAACAAAGATAAAGTTACAGACGGAGGATTGACGAACACTCACCCAGCCGCTACTATGAAAAAGTCCAATCTGTTCCAGGAGTCAGCGAGATACGTTCCTTTGCCGTAGATGCCCATCGCGACCATTTTGATCGTCATCTCCAGGGCGAAGAAGGCGAAAATGATGTCGTCGAACATCTGTAAGCCAGAAAGCCAGGCTGGCCGATTAGACGACAACACGCTTAACCCGATCGGGCGTAATTGATCAAGGACACTAGAGCAGCAAGTTGCATTAGCTGTCGAACCACCGACTACTGTTCAATCGCGTTTGCTTCCCTTTTCTCTTTGACGTGTGAAACCAAACGTGGAAAGCAGGACAAACAGTGCAATTAATCAATCGCCTCTTGCATCAAGACTTTCGTGCTTTGACATTTTTTTCTCTTTGAAGGAAACTTTCTTCGCGACTCTTCTTTTTCTTCCTTTCGTTTTTCTTCTGGCACGAGCCAGAAAACAAAGATAGGACGAAAATGGGACACGAAGTTTTCCAGAGAATCTGCAGGGACATAGTTTCGCTGGTTTCTCATACCGACGTTAATTTGAATCTTCAGACGTGTAGATTAACGTTCTTAAGCCTCGTAAACCGGTTCGACGATTTTTGATCGAATCCTGCTTTCTTAGTAATCGATTCTCGAAAGCTATGGTAAGCGAAATTTGTTCGAATGCCACGCGAACTTTGTTGTAATATCATTGCGTTGCGATGTGGTTATTTGTAACCGATAGCGCAGACAATAATTTTTCCTCCTCTTTATACAACATCGAATAGCGATAAAACATTTAATTCTATTTGTTCGATCTTGTTAAGTTTTTAATTTAAAATAGACGCGAAAGATCTGTAGCCTTTAGGGGTTGAAATATTTTTCTTTACGTTTGGAAAAAATGAGAGAGAAAATTCGTGATTTGTCGTTTCAATGTTATGTCAAAGATATTCTTAAAACGTTTAAAGATCTTTTCTCACGATCGAAACAAATGGAATTGGAATAACAGAAATCCGGAGGATAACAAAATTAAAATTCAATTTTCATTTATGGATTGCATAATAGAAATTTAATCTTCGAAATAGCGTTTATTGGTTTTTAGAATTTTGATCCATTTTCTCGATTAATCGCTGGATTCGGTGAAATCACGCGTGCATTTTTCGATTCCAGTAATACCGAATATCTTCAAATTCATTTGTAAAATAACAAAACATTTTCCCGTAATATATGGTCGAGCTGTGTATGCAGATTAGCAGATATTAACAATGGGATACACGTGAATGTCAGAGCTGACCCGAAACGAGGCGAAAAACGGGTTAACAACTGGGTAAATTCTATACGCATATTCTGTATGGCTTGATAATTAAGTCGTATCACTAATTAAAATTATTCAGCGTAGTCGCGCACGCTGACATAAAAACAGCGAAAGAGAAAGAGCGTTGCGATTTCATCGCGCAAGCTGCAGTCGAAAGTGCAGCAACCTATAAATCGTGACGCACGGAATTGTAATTGCAACCTTTTGCCAAGGTAAATCTGAGCTTAACACCGCACCGTGACAAATGAAAACGAGCAGATAAAGGCCACCGAGATTCAATTATATCTTTTCTGGCCTTTCTCTTTTTCTTTTTTCTTTTTTTTTTCGTTTTTTCAATTATCACTCGTAATTAACGATAGCTGCAAATGGCTTTCACAGATACGTATGAAGAGTACGCAAGGAAAGCGTGGCAAATCCATATTTGCTTTTTTGACTTTCGATCATTTATTGTAAATTTCATACAAACGTTCACGAATATAACCGAAAATGGATGACAAGTTTACGAAATTTTGTAAACAATCGAATAAAGAATAGTTTTCGCAATGTCCAACAGGCCGGAAAAATATGTGTTCGGTCGCACAATCGATTAAAGGGGACAATTTTAGCGAGGAAAAACTTTGAAATCGATCACTGAATTTTTTAATTGCTAATCGTGCTCTTCGGATACGGACTCGAATATTTATAATCGACTATGAAAGATTCGAATAATATTGCAGTATATTCTTTTATAAATATTAATTTCCATGCGAGAAAAGAGAAGCAGTACGTTCAAATATTTGAAGTAGATTCGACAGATTCCACCGAACTGTACAGACTCCAGTAGTTTCAGCTATGTTAAACTAGTCTGATTCTAACGTTCTCTATCTACTGCGCACAGTGAAATCAATGTTTCAACAGAGACTCGCTTGCTATCTTCGAAGCTGGCTATATTAAAATCTTTAAAATTATGAAAAATTTTGAAAGAAAGTAGCTATAAAAATGTTCATATATAGGGAGATAAATAAATATACGTACTTGCAATATTTTACAGCGGTTTGTCACACACTGATCGTCGACGCACGGTTGGTACATTCCCAGTGTAATGCAGTTTAAAAGAATTACCATCATGCTCACTCTTTCGAACCACGTGATCATACTATGTTAAGGAAAATAGTTTTCTTCCGTTTTGATAATTAATTAACGCTAACCACAAATTATCCCGATGAAAGTTACGTGTTATCGTTTAAACACGAACAAATAGGATTGTCTATAATCGTTCGAAGGGTTCCACGTGTCAGCAAGATCAACGCTGTATGTTGAATGAAAAATGCGTTTAAATCAGTTACAACACGAGTTGGCAAAACTACGTAAACACTATTACACAAATTAATAGAAATCTGACAATTCTCATAAATGAAATATCGTCTTTTAACTTACGATGTGATTTAAACATCTATCGATCTTTTGTTAATAATTACACGCATAATGTAATTCGCGTTCGTGATTAAAGATATAACAATTTGTGTCGAAATTAACAATTTTCAAATCTTTAATACTTCGAATTAATGGGAATAAATTTTGTTCCATTTTATATTCCAATAACATCGAATCACTGAGACGCCTTTCTCTTGCAAGAACGAGATTGTTAGCTGGAACGTAGTTGTACGGCTTCGTTCGTGTCAAAATATTCTGCCATTTAGTTAATTACGGGGAGCACTGTACGTAGCTAGCAATTACGAGACAGAGCTCTTGTCAATTGTTTCTGTAGGTAACGTTAGTTAATTAGAAATTCATTTTTATCGTGATATTAATTGCAGTCTGTAATCTGAAAACAAAGGCACACTGTCGTTCATATTAATCACTGTAAGTAAGAATTTGCAAGACAAACAGCTTCTGAATATCTCAAATGAAAATGTTTCTTAAAATAATTTATATTTGTACGCTCATGTGTCTTTTCGTTAAATTTTTAATAAATTATTCTATCCGTAAAATTGGTTAAAAAGAACACACAGCAAAATTCGATCCAGCTGCACTAGCTCGAATTATCATACGTTAAGAAACTACATATATCACATTACGTCCACTTTTTTCTTTAAGGGGGTGTCCTGAATTAACTAAAAAATATAAGTAAAAAAGTTCGTCGAAAAGTTTATTTAAATAATTGTTATAGCAACTTAAATTTGATTTCTTCTTTTTAAAAAACACAATTTTTCTTTAAACCCGCCAAAATTTTTAATTTCACACTATTTTCTGCCTTTTTTTTTGTTAGTTCATCGAGAAGAAAGATATATAATAATTTAATCCTTTTTTGGTTTTTCGTTTCACGCCGATTGAAAACTGCAGCCTATGAAATAGCCTTAGAAATCTGTTATAATTTTTTCTTACTTTACAAAAATTTTTTTGCATTCGTTAAATATACAGGGTGGTTGGTAACTGGTGGTACAAGCGGAAAGGGGGTGATTCTACGTGAAAAAAGAAGTCGAAAATATAGAATAAAATATTTCTTTTTTTTTTTAATTTTTCCATCGAGACAACGATCTACAGTGAGATCCGTTATAACGTACCGCACGCGTACCGAGCGAAAATTCAAAGTCGATTTTCTCGAAAACAAAGCCTCGAACGAAAAATATTTATTCTATATTTTCCACTTCATTTTTCGCGCAGGATCACCCTCTTTCCGCTTTTACCACCAGTTATCAAACACCCTGTATATAAAGCTATACCTCAAAATTCAATAACTTCATTCCCTTCTAAAAAAAAATCACAAAAGGTTGTTAGAACGCTGTTTTAGAACATTCTAATTCAGGGCGCCCTCTTAATATTAAAATTGTCTACGTCCATAAAGGTGATGTGATATAAATAACTAATTGTCAGATAAAAATTTGTTTGTTTTTGAACAGAATACGCTTGCACTATATACCGCCCTCTTAGATGCAATTTTCATATTTCAAGGGAGAAGCGTACGAAATTGATAACGTAATTTTTGTAAAGCTTCGAAGCTTGCGAAGCTTGTAGGAGACCTCTACAAAATTGTATTCTCCGAAGTTCGATGAAATTTTGGAAACAATCGTTGCAAATGCAACATGCTATAGCGACACTCTCGTTGGCGAAATTGCATAAAAAACGAAATTTGTTATCGTGCCCCGTAGAAGATAAAGCGAAAGAACTGACTGGCTGCTTTTTACCGTTTCTCTTGGACCAATCGTAAAATCGATGGATTTTTCTCTTTCGATGATGATCCTGTCTCCCAACTAAATTCTATTTCAATTACTAATTATTAATCAATTATTAATATGTATATTATATGAATATAACGTAAATATGCTTTCGAGTTGGATCTTCGATAAAAATCAAACAAGAAGAAAAATAACGCGTAAAAAGGAGGAAATTTCAGTAAGTAAACACATTTGGAGAACAACCCCCGAGAGTAGAGTTTCGAATTTTGAGAACTTCTCGCCACTAAAATATGCGAAAAATATTCATGCTTCAAAGTTGCACGAAACACATTATTCATGGAACTTTTTGTCACCTTCAGTGGACGGGGGAAAAAATACGTTTACCATTCAAACTCGATTTTTTACAATTCCACGACTTCGGTCCTCCTACCATCTCGTACGATGACCAATGAACAACATACGTACGACGTTCTGTAACGCGTTATCAGATGGCGAGTCTACGTACGCAAATTTATATCAATCTGAAGACAATGATTTGAAGAGAGCGATACCGAAACGGAATGAAAGACGAAGATGGCTGAAATTAATTTTTAATTCTCACGCATGTACCCTTGAAACGTCTGCAAATGCATTAACATCGGTCATCTATATAATTACGTAAAAAAAAAAAATGAATACGAAATTTAAGGAAGAAAAGAAGAAAGAAGAAAAGAAGAAGATGGAAAGATGATTCGTTCAATTTACGATACACGCTTCGTTAACAAGTCGAAATGAACATCGTCGTTCTTCCGCGGTAATTCGATTATGAAATAATTGAACGAGCTGTTATCGTAAAACAATATTACCCTTCATTTCCCTGGCTGTTACGTTCAATTGATACAACGACTGGACCAAACTGATGGTCCCTTTTTTTTTTATTTCTTCCCGATAATTTCTTGGCCTCTACCAATAAGGGGTCAGATATAGCGATCAGGGGTCAGCGAATGCTTTACACGCTGGAGACCGTTCGAAACCGCTATTACCACCCTGTCACACCAATTTAGCCGGTGTTCTACCATTTCGCCATCGTGTCGTCACAAAACGATCGATCGATAAGACAAGGCGCAACTGTAATCTTACAGATCGATCACGGTTGCCAAGTGACTATTACCTAAACACTATCCTCCTCGATGCGTGACTCGAGCTTTCACTCGTGTCGGATAAACCACCAAATGATATTTCACTGGTAATCGACGAGAGAGTGGACATTTTTTGTCCAGCTCGTTCACAAGAGCGTGCGGAGACCGTCGGTCACGCAGACTGTCACGTTTCTAGAGTAAATAGAGTCGTCGTGAAATTTATGGGACGATAGCGAAGCTTGACAAGACGCGGATAGACGAGGATTTTCCTAAGAAATTATCGATAAATCCGAATCTAACAGAGTGATAAACGAAAAATGAGTGTGAAAGAGTCAGCGAGATTCTCTTATTTTTCTGCTGATTTTTCTTCTTCTCAATTATCGTTCGTAATTGATAGATCCAAGCACTTAAAAAGTGTATTACACTTCTGGTCAAGGGATCGAAGTGCCCTTTACCTTTTGAATGAACGTACGTTCTTGCGCGAGTTTCTGAGAAATGAGAATACCGTGATTGTAACTTTCATTTTTAAATGTAATTAATTATAGTTTCGATACCATGGAGAATCAATATTTTTGTGTAATCGAGAAAGTGATCGCTTTAAACTTTTGCAGGATATTAAAATTGGTCCACTAGATTCGATTACGTTAACAAGTAGATCAGATTTAACCTGAACGATTCCAACTTTCCACATCTATCACTTTCTTAACAAAAATTTCTCCTTTGTTTAAACCATTTTTCTTGACCATCTTCGAGACTTATTCGTTAACACTAGAACTATCATACCAGTCAAGTCGACTGGTTCTACAATTTTATTTGAAAATTCCTATTTCGTGTTATATCTTTTTCCGCAATGATGTAATGACTCTCGCAACGATAACTAAAAGAATAATATAATGAATTTTATTTTGTTTTTTATATACTCAAACCCAAAATAATTTTGTATCAAGGCTATTTATACCAATACCAGTGAAAATGACTGGTTCTTGTCGAAGTGTTAAAAGGTTCTGCAATCTGTTTATCGAACCACAATTAACCAGTTTCCTCGTTTTGTACATCTTGCCACGCGTTTTTAAAATTTGTACTGCGTATCGTTCGATATGACGATATCAGTTATGAGGAAAATTGCGGATCGATCGCTAGATCGCTAGATGCTAACCCTAGAAATACCACATCAGTCAATATGACTGGTTCTACAATTTTATAAATTTGTCAACCCTCGTCTCAGGATCATGGTCCTGGATGGATTAATAATACGAAAAATGTACCACATAACATGGAATTGCTTCTGTAAGAAAGTAATAAATCAATAAATATAAAAATATTCTATTATTACGTATTTTTTAAAGACCAGTCATTTTCACTGGTTTCGATAGAAATAGCTTCGTGTTAACTATCGGCTGTTCTAGTGTTAAAGGTCTCGTTCATCGTCTAATTATCCCCTAAATTATACTTGACTAAATTTTGTAGCAGATATGCAAATAAAAATCGATATACACGCGCTTCGTAATTGTAATATTTAAACAGCAGTTTCCACGCTGTCGCCGAAATCTCGATAAAACAAATATCGTACACACGTTCGATCGATAAGACGGGATCTTAATAAATCCTTTGGATTCTGAAAATCTTTATTTAATGCCGGGACACGCCGTGTTTCTAAATAAGAGAGTCATAAAACTGTGGGAACGATGGCGAACGCCAATAAACGACAATTCTCCGCGAGATTCATCGAAAATACATCGAAAATAATTCAAAGCGAGAGAAGCTATAAGCAGTTTATCACGGACATATTCCCCTTGTTTTGTGTAATGTCGACAGTCATAAATTTTACATAGATGCTATGCAAGAAACTTAGT